GCTCTGCCTCTTGCCCCTGGCCCACTGGAGCTGGAGGTGTCTCTTCACTCAGGCAACTGCTGGCTGCTGAGGCTGACAAGCCCAAGGTCGACAAATAAAATGGCACAGTCCCAATATTACCAAACAACACAGGAAGGCCACTAGTTCAAGTCCAGAGACAGTCCCAGGATGGGCAGGAAACATGGCAGGCTGCTAAATGAAGATGGGTACATGCAGGGTCCAAGTGTGCCAAAAAGCTGCAGAGACCTTTCTCAAGACTTGTCCTTATATACTAGAAGCAGCCCACATCCCTAAGGCAGCTACTCAGCTGTTCCAGTAGATTCCACCATGGAGTGGATTACCAAGCTCATCATGGGTGCCAAAGGGGCATGGGCCACATCTTCTGACCTCCTCTAACCCTACAAGAGGAAGATAGAATCACCGTCAGTAGCCCAAGGCCTATTCCTGTGAGGCCAGACGTGCCGCCTCCCTCCAGCCCTTTCACCAACTGTTCCTCCCGCAGCACCCACCACCTCTCTGCTGGGTTCGATAATTCACTGCAGTGGCCACACAGAACTCACAGATTATGGGGTTTATTAGGGAAGCACCAGGCTACAATTCAAGTTCAGGAAAAACGCTCAGTCTCTCTCAGCCCGCCGTCTCTCAGCCAAGAGTCTCTCACAGTCTCTCTCCCGGGAGTGGGTGTCTCTCAGTGTATCTTTCTCACCAGCGCCTGTCTCTCAGGAGCGGGTTTCTCTCAGCAGCACATCTTCCTCAGCCAGCAGTCAGAGAGACTCCCTCTGCCTCTAGGAGGGCTCCTTTTGAGCCTGGCAGAGTAGCCAAACTAAACAATCATAACATCAGAATTCTGAACACCTGAGAGAGAGTGAACTTCCCGGAACATTGCTTTGTGCCACTCTCAACAGAAATACCCCAGGTGGATAACTGTAATGGTCAGGAGCTACTCAGTTGCTCAGGGCAAATTCCATCATGGAGTTTACATAGACTTATGGCTAGAAAAGCCATACCAGGTAATTGACTACACCACAATGGGGAATAACTACATCCAGCTGCCCAGCTACTCAACAGCCTCAGCCAAGTTGACACATAACCTTAACTACCACAGTGTTCTTGATAGAAACTATGGACTCTGAAAACCTGGACAATCCACTTGACTTCATGTGCTAGCTTGGACGAATATGGGTGTTTTCCCATCAAAGCCTGTACTGGGAACTTATACAGAGTCAAACTGCTCCTTAAGGTGTGCTTGGCTGTATTCTATACAGAAGCACATTGCCAGGCCTTTTTTCCTTGGAGCTGCTGGGTAGGTTAGAACCTTCAACCTTCAGGTTAGCAGCTGACTGCAAATTGCTTGCACCACACAGTCTGCCTGCATATTTGCTAGATGTCGATATTTAAATATCAAGCCATAGTATTTTCAGTCTCCTCACATGCATGCAAAAACTGGAGAATGGATACAGAAGACTGAAGAGAAATTGATGCATTTGAATTAGGGTGTGGGAGAAGAATCTTGAGTATGCCATGGACTGCTAGAAGAATGAACAGGTGTGCCTTGGAAGAAATACAGCCAGAATGCTCCTTGGAGGTGAGTATGGTGAGACTTCATCTCAGGTACTTGGGACATGTTATGAGTTCCCGGAGAAGGACGTCATGCTCGGTTAAGTAGAGGGTCAATGCAAAAGAAGAAGACAGTCAACAAGATGGATTGACCCAGTGGCTGCAACAAGGGGCTCACCCAGCAACGATTGTGAGGACGGTGCAGGACTGAGCAGTGTTTCGGTCTCTTGTGTCACCAGCCGCTCCACAGGAGAAAGATGAGGCAGTCTGCTCTCATAAAGATTACAGCCTAGGGAACTCTGTCAGAAGTTCTCCTCT